CCAACAGTTTTGCACCTTCCACCAGTTACGCAATCACTCTTGTTAAATCACCCGCAAACCATGGTTCAGCCCCTCGCGCAAAATTCCAGTTTGCGAGCGCAAATTACTGCACGCAAAATTGGATCTTGATAAATCCGGCCCAAAGGAAATTACGGGGAGGAAAACAGCAGGATAAAGACAAGATCACAAGGTGCAGAAATACCATCTAATGACAAAAAGACAGTAAGAGACTGAGAGTGGGGCAACAAATAAATTGAACCAGCAATAGGAAGGGAGAGGGGCAATGTGAAAAAGGGATCAGGAAGAGAGGCACTACAAGTAAAAGAATTTTTACATATGTACTCTTTTAGAATGTCTACATTCTAAAAGACCACACTTTTGTTTTGTGTTCTCCTATTGCAGAAAGTCCCCAGCCTGCCTTTGCCCTGGCCTCAATATTTTTTAACTAACCCACTGCATACGTGCAGGCAAAAGGAAATAATACTTTTGTTGTATTGTTTTTTTGGTTAACATAATGTCACATGCTTTAACCTCAGACAGACTAACCAGTCAAACTGTGAGCTGGCTGCTTACACAAGCAACTGTGGTTTTAGTCAGCAATGCAAGAGAAGAGTGGCCTAAATCTTTCCATGACTTTCTCCTTTGATAGAAAAACCAAAGGCTCTGTGGTGATGATCATTTAATAGAATAATTTAATAGAGTCTGTTGAAGAACTATTAGATATTAAGTTTATAATTTTATTCATTTTGAAAAATATGTGAAAGACATAATGTCACATACTCTAACCACAGACAGAGGAACTTCAGTCAAACTGTGAGCTTCCTGCCTTTACCGCCGCGGTCTATGTACATTTTGTTCTCACTTTACTTTAAATTAGTGCTGGGTATGGTACTGAACACACAATGTAAGCTGACAAAGCTTCAAATATGAAAGAATCTGTTCATAAATTCAAAAGTCTGAGTTTATTAGATGTTCAACAAGTACTCAATTAAAAAATACTCCTCTGACGCTCTTTAATTAGTCATCATATATATCAACACCAGTTACATCCAGAATAACTGTCCTTGTCACATCTTTATTTTATTATTATATGATTGGACACACCTCCTCAGTCAAAGAGTTTATTTTTATGACTATGAAAATTGAAGATTCACACTGAAGACATCAAAACTGAATTAACAAATGTGGAATTATTTATATCCTTAGCACTTGTTGGCC